TTCACTGCCAGGAAATACTGCCTGAATTAAAAATTAATTGATTGGGTCCTTTTGTCAAGGTTATCCCAGGGACTCAGTTTTCCATCTGAGCATGAAGGGATGGAACAGGGAGGTGGATTCTGTGAGCTGAAGGAAACATCTGAGTGATGCTTGAGTGGTTCTTTTGTAAGGAAACCCTTGATAACAAAACAAACCAGAGGAGAAACAGTGAAATCCATCCCTGCAGAAACCAGCCCAGGCTGAGGCTTTAATGGGCAGGGGAATGTCCCTGGGAATTGGAGTGACCCCAACCTGCTGAAGGACTCGGGCAGAGCTGGGTGCACTCTGCCACTGGAGAGTTGTTTGGAAGAGGGGATTGATAAAAACAGTGCAAGATCAACACCAAATATTGGACTGGGGCAGCATTGAAGTATTCAGAGGACATGAGGATAACAGAGGAAAGAAGTGATTATGGGGGAGATGATGGAATTGCTGTCTGGAACAGGTCAGACAAAATGCTGGCTGGGAAAGGGCCAAACCTTGGGAAGGGAGGGAGGAAACAACAGACAGTGGAAAGAGCTGCTGCCTTGGGCTGCAGAGGGTCCTGCTCTGCAAACAAATCTGGGCAAGACAAAGGTGTTGCTATTTCCCCTCATTCAAGCATTTCTTGTTATTTCTAAATACCCATGTTGTGCCAATAGAATATTTCAACATCCAGGTAAGACAGGGGGATCTGCGTCCTCACCAAGTGAAAAGGCTTCAAAGAACAGCAAGGTTCCACATGGGAAATTCAGAGTTCTGAGAACCAGACAGGTTTAATCCCTTGAACAACGAAGACTGAAACCACAGGGTGCTGTACCCACCTGCATAGACATGAATTGTGCAGATAATTTTGTCCCCCGCCTTCAGCAGGCGACAGATGTTCAGAATTGCTCCCATACCAGAGGAGTAAGCCAAGGCTGGAAGAGAAAGGAGTCAGTGGCAGATGGGCAGTGTTTGATGTGACACAACGAGTCAGACTTGCCTTGGCCTTCCTCACTTTGCCTCTGAAAAGAACCTGTTCTGTCACTCTCTCACTGGGAACGGGGAGCCAGTGAAAGCAGGAGCTTGATGTACACAGCATGGAACCAGCATGGGCACTGGGACAGACTGGGACAGACTGGGGACAGACTGGGGACAGACTGGGGACAGACTGGGGACAAGACTGGGGACTCCCACTGCCCCCAGTGCTGCTGCACAAGGATGGATCCAGCCCAGCTCAGGCATCAGCCACAGCGAGGAAGGACGAGAGACACCCAGGGCTGGAGCTGCTCTTTCCTGAACAAGAAGTGTTGGGCTCTTCCCCACTACGGAGCTGCTCCTGCCCACAACCAACAGCCAGAGGCGTGGGCACAGAATCATGGAATGGTTTGGGACAAAGGGACCCCAAAGCCACCCAGTGCCACCCCGTGCCACAGGCAGGGACACCTCCCACTGCCCCAGGCTGCTCCAAACCCCGTCCAACCCATGAGGTGCTCACAGTATTTGGTTCCACTGAGGGTAGCCACAAGTTCTTCCAGGACTTGCCGGTTTGGGTTCCCAGAGCGGCTGTAGTAAAAAGGCTGGTATGGGAATAGGAAATACATCAGAGAGAGCACTGGGAAAGTTTGGGACAATACCAGAGCCCTGGCTGAGGGCATCAGCTCCTCCCAGAGAGCAGGAGGGTGCCCTGGCACAACATCCAGCTGGGCATCCCCACCGGAGAAAAGGGTCTGGGCTGCACTGGGGCAAGGAGCCACATTCTCCTGATTTTCCCTGCACTTCCATCTGTGGTCTCTGTGGGAGAAAAGGTCCTGGGCTGCACAGTCCAGTCATCCTCAGAATCCCAGATGGGTCAGGCTGGAAGGGACCATGGGGGTCCCCTGGTCCCAGCTCCCTGCTCAGCACGGCCATCCCAGAGCACAGGATCGTGACAAGACAGTACAGAAACATCTTCAATGAGGGAGACTCCATAGTCTGCCTGGAGGAAATTGTTACGGAAAATGTGTGTCCATCTCCATCATACCCTATTAAAGAGGTGCCACAGGGCACTGGACAACTCCTCCCCCTGAGTTTTTGAAAGCCCAAACATTCCTCTGGCAACACCAGATGCAGCTTTAATGCAAATTCAGGGAAAATTCAATGAGGAAAAAAGATCCCATGCATGTGTCCCATTGCCCCAGAGGGCAGAAGGGCAGGGAGAGCCTCCCACATTCCCAGGTCCGGGCAGCCCTGGAGCAGCATCCCTGCGAGCCCGCGGGCACCGGGTGCTCCCTGCCCCCCTTCCCCCGGCTTTCACACGGGAATCATCCCAACCTCATCCCCGACCTCATCCCAACCAACCTCATCTCGGCCTCATCCCCGACCTCATCCCGTTCTCATCCCAGCCTCATCCCAACCTCATCCCAGCCTCATCCCAACTTCATCCCCGACCTCATCCCAGCCCCTCCCGATCCCCGCCAGCTGCGGGAACACAGAACCCCAGGCTGGGCCAGGCTGGAAGGGATCACAGCGGTTGCTCCGGTCCCATCCCTCCTCAGCAGGGCCATCCCAGAGCACCGGGCACGGCATCGCGCTGCGGGTGGCTCTGGAATGTCCCCAAGGAGGAGACTCCACAGCCCTCCTGGGCCAAAGCCCCGCTCCCAGCGGGAACGAGATGCTCGCGTTTGCCCAGGAGCTGCCACGTGGGAAAACATCCGCATCGGGAGCTCCTTCCCCTTCCCAGGACATGCTCCCTCTCGGACATCCCGGACAGGCCACCCC